GATTGAAAATCAGCGTACTAGATTCCCAGATAGCCTTCCCTTCTCCTGGCATCCAAGCTAATTCCCCTTTCCCAACTCAGAAGGGAATTTGAGGCTGCTCTTGGATAAGCTGAACCACCAATGCTGTGGATGCACACACCTTCAGCAGAGTAGAAGGCAGAGGTGAGTGCAGTGTGCTGTCAGGTGCTGTTGAGTCAGTTCTGAATGATAGAAACTCAATGTACTACAGATTGAAACACTGTCTGGTTCTGTGTCATCCCAATTGTTATGCTTGAGTTCACTATTGCAGCCATTGTATATATGTTTTGCAGCCAACAAGTCCATCTCGTTGAGGGCCTTCCTGTTTTTCATTGACCCTCTTTCTACTTTACCAAGCGTCATGTCCTTCTTCAGGGATTGGTTCCTCCTGATGACATGTCTATAGCACTTGAGATAAAGTCTCACCATTCTCACTTGTAGGGAACATTCTGGCTGTGTTTCTTCCAAGAGAGATTTGTTCATTCTTCCAGCAGTTCATGGTATGTTCAATATTCTTCACCAACACCATATTTCAAATGTACCAAATCTTCTCTGGTCATTCTTATTCATTGTCCAGCTTTCATAATCATATGAGGTGACTGAAAATACTACGGCTGGGGTCAGGTATACCTTCATTTTCAAAGCAACATTTTAAAGAAGACTTTTGCAGTAGATTTACCCAATGCAATACATCCTTTGATTTCTTGACTGTTGCTTCCATAGGCATTGATTGTGGATCTAAGTGAATTGAAATCATGGCAACTTGAGCATTTTCTCTCTTTATTCTGATGTCTACTGGTCCAGTTGTGAGGGTTGTTGGCAGGTCAAACCCAGCAGTAGCTCTGTGGGAGAATGATGAGGCATTGCACGTCTATAAAGTTTCATAGCTTCTGTGATCCTGTACAGGGCCGCTGGGAGTCCAAATCACTCAGTGGCAGTATAGTATTACAGGTTTAGTTTCTAAACTTTCACTTTATTTTAAACTTTTCATATTTGACAAATCATATTTGATTATATCACTCCATCATTTTCAAAATTTTCTTTAAACACAAAGTATTTATGTTATACAAATAATACTAATTATTTAAGGTAATTGGAGATCTTCACTTGTTGATTGATTTTGCTACTTTTATTCTTGATGGCTTATTTCCTTCTGTATTTACTATTTCTTTTTAACTACAAGCTAGTGTTCAGTTGAACTGAATCTTCTGGGCTCCAGTAAGTCTACATTGAGGGTATTTCTCTCCAAAGCTTTTATTCTATCAGGAGAAGGATACTTTTTTGTTGTTCTGGGACCACTTAGCCCTTTCCTGGTCCATATTAAACTTAAGAATCTCATAGTCAACTTTCTTACTTTATGGTTGGTCCAAACCTCTTAACCTCATGTGTGTTCATCACTCACTAGTTAGGTTCTGGAGGTTGATGTGGCACTGTTGGGTAAGCACTGGATTGCTAACCGCAAGGCTGGCAGTTCAAACTTACCAGCCTCTGCTTGAAAACCCTATACAAGAGTGCTATGCATCGGAACTGACTCAATGGCACTTAACAACAATAAATTAGGTTCTGGAGTCCTGGTGTAGCACTGTAGGATAAGTACTAGACTGATAACTGCAAGGTCAGCGGTTCAAACCCTTTATAGGGTCTCTATGAATCAAATTGAACTTGATAGTGCTTAATAACAGTTAGGTTCTATTCCTTTTAAACATTTTTGCCCTTAGAGATTTCCCTTACTTTCTCATGTGCAATAAAATCTCATGTGCATTGATAGCTCTAGAACTGATTTATTCTTTTAAGTTGACTTTTTCAGCGTATCCAATGGTTACCAGTTTATTCAAGAGTCCTGGTGTGGCACTGTGGGTTAATGCGTGAGACTACAAAGTCAGTTTGAACTGCAATGTTGGCCATTCAAGCTCACCAGTCACTCCTCGGAAACCCTATGTAGGGTCGCTATGTGTTGGAATTGACTCGATGGCACTTAACAATAACAACCCTTTATTGCGAGTCCTGGGGTGGCACTGCAGGGTAATGCACTGTCCCTCCACTTTCCCAAACAGGATATCCTTCTCCAGGCAGTGGTCCCTCTTGATAATATGTCTGAAGTATGAGAGACGAAGTCTGCCCCTCATGGCTTCCAAGGAGCATTCTGGCTGTACTTCTTCTAACCCAGATTTACTTGTTCTTTTGGCAGCCCATGGTACTTTTAATATTCTCCTCCAATACTATAACTCATATCCATCCATTCTTCTATGTTCTTCCTTATTCACTGTCCAACTTTCACATGCATATGAGGTAATTGAAATACCATGGCTTGGGTCAGGTGCTCGCCTGGCATCTTTGCTTTTGAACACTTTAAAGAGGTCTCGTGCAGCAGATTTGCCTAATGCAATACATTGTTTTATTTATTGACTGCTGCTTCCATGAGTGTTGATGGTTGGTCTGAGCAAAATGAAGTCTTCAAAAAGGGGTTAAACCAAAGCAATGGCTTTTGAGGTGATCCGCTGGGTCAGTTAAATTCAAAGCCAAGAGGTTAATTCAGAAGGTTATGGTGATTGTTTTTTCAGATTCCAAAAGGGTAAGCTTGACAGATTTTATCAAACCTCACTGGATAATCACAGGGGCTTATTGTGAAGAAATTTGAAGAAAATGGAAAACTCGTTGGTGAGAAAAAGGCCAAGAAACTTGTGTTGAGGAATTATTTTTCCACCATGACAAGGCACTTCCTCATTCTTTGAGGATATGAAGGGCTGTCCTATATGAATTTCCTTGGAACGTCTTACCCCATCCACCCTGGAGCCCTGATCTTGCCCCTTCAGATATCATTTTGTTCTCAAAACTCAAGAACATTAAAAAGGAATATGACTTGAACCCCTCGTGGATGCCCAAACTGCCATCAAGATGTGGTGTAAATCTAAGAGGGAAGGGTAGAGTGATGGAATCTGTGCCTTCAGAGCATATAGACCTAGATGGAGGAGATGTGCAGAAACAAGAACTTGACATTTTGATATTTTTGTTTAATAAGTGTTCTATGATTTTATAGCACTACTTTTTGACTTATCCTAGTACTCCAGTTCCACAGTCTTACACTATCTTAAAGAAATGTCAGGCGAGCCTGAGGAACGGCAAGTGTGTGGAGCTTACGAACCCAGTCCTGAGATTAGACAGTGATTCCAACAGTGGTCATGTCCAAGGGACAAAAGTCTCTCTGTGCATAACCATTCCATTCCTGATCTCTACAAGGGCAGAGACTGAGAAAAAAACATTACTCTCCACAGTGCCACTGATACTGAGACAGTTTCCCCTCTGAGGAACCTACTACTATGTCTTAATAATGCATAGAAAAGATTTATATAACAGCTGTATAGATATTTCTGGCTATATTTCAGCAATCCTAGCTTCATATTGGATATAATATATAGTATGGAATAGCTTGAGAATATTTTTTAAATGAGTCAAAATTCAGAAGCCAGAGAAGCAACTTGGATAACTGTGTGTGTGCATATGTGTGTATATTAACAGTCATACTACTGTGTGGGGACTGTGATAAAGGACATTTTAAATGTCTAAAAGTATGTTGAGGTTAAAGTTAAAAGGGTTTTGAGTTTGCTCACCATATTAATAGTTTTTGAACTTTTTCTGGGATCACATCATAATACATTTGCAGATTATTTTTGTAAAAGAATGAAGAAGCAATGCACTTGAGCTGCTGTGGGCTATTGAAAGAATTCTCTTTCCAAAAATGAGGATGCGTGTAATTATTATCAAATAGGATTTTCCTCAGGTTCAGCTTCAACATTCCAGATGGGAAGGAAGTCAGTTCATTCCCATTCACACTCAGTTTTTCAAGTGATCTACGTACAAAGGAAATTGTATTTTAAAATGGATTCATGCTGTTTATACTATTGAGCTTAGATTCGGATCCAATGTTCTTGAAAAATTATATCAAATTTGGCACCAATAAAAATACAAGTATAAGTGGAGTCTTGGTGTGGTACAGCAGGTTAATGCTCTGGACTGCAAAGTCAGTTCGAACCTCAAGGTCAGCAGTTCATGCTCACTAATTGCTCCTTGGAAACCCTATTCTGGGTCTCTACGAGTCGGAACCAACTTGACAGCACTTAACAACAACAATACCTAAGTATTTTCTTAAGAGACTTTACTTATAAAATAAACCATAAGTTTTTATGCAATTAGGTGAATTCCTATGAATATTACACATAACACATGTGTTTAGGTTCTTTGCAGCATGTCTTATCATGATGGAATCAGAAATAACATCTGTAAACATGGCAAGGCTAATGAACACCATGTTACAAGAATTGTAATACACGGATACTGTTGTTTGTTTCCATCCTTTCCATGGTGACTCATGCAGAGTAGAACTGGTCCACAGGGTTTTCAAGGATGTGACCTCTCAGAAACAGATTGCCAGGTCTGTTTTGTAAGTAGCATCTGGATGGATTTGAACTACCAACCTTTGGGCTAGTAACAGAGCACTCAACCAGGTATCACCCAGGTACTGCCCATAATATAGGTAATTTTGTTGTTGTATGCTGTCGAGTCAGTTCTGACTCATAATGACCCTGTGTAGGGTTTCTGAGGAGCAGCTGGTGGACCTGAACCAGCAACCTGTGATTAGCAATCCAGTGTTGCTCTTACAGTGCCACACCATATAGTACTGTATAATGAAGCAGGAGCCCTAGCGGAGCAGTGGGTAAATGCTAGGCTGCTAACCAAAACATCAGTGATCTGAACACACCAGCAGTTCCATGGGAAAAAGTTCTACTTTTTCTTATTATAGAGTCACTATGACTTGGAGTCCGGTGTGGAGCTGTAGGTAAGCTCTGGACTGCTAACCAAAAGACTGGTGGTTCAAATCCAACAGCTACTCCTTGGAATCCCTATACAGGGTCACTATGAGTCAAAACTGACTCAATGGCACTTAACAACAACAATAAAGTGAGTTGGAACTCATATGTCAGTTTTTTGTATTGTGGTGGTTTGTGTGTTGCTGTGCCGCTGGCATTTTAAACACCATCAAGGTCATCATATTTATTCAGTCTGTATGCTGAGCAAATGATTCAAGAAGCTGGCTTATATGAATAACATGGCACTAGGATTGGAGGAAGACTCATTAACAACCTGCGATACACAGATAACATAACCTTGCTTGCTGGAAGTGAAGAAGTTGTGAAGAACTTACTGATGATGATCAAAAGCCACAGCCTTCAGTATGGATTTCACCTCAATGTAAAGAAAAAGAAATCCTCCCAAAGGATCAATCAATGGATGGATGTAAAACAGACATGTACATGTACAGAACGGAATACTAGGAACTGTTTAAGTATAATGGTGAATCCACAAAACATCTCAAAACATGGATGAACATTATATTATGCTGTCTCAAAAACAAAAATAGTGTGCATCAACCAATCACTTAAATTGCATTTTAGTATACATTATGCTTCGTATAGTACACTTAATGGCTATTAAATTAATGAAAGGACTCAATTTTCTCCATTGAAATAGTCACCAGAGATAGCCTTAAGGGGCACATGACTTTATGTGTACTTACTACTTTCCAAATACCTGAGATTCTGGATTTCATTTGGAATAGAAGTAATGCCATTGTAGGAAACGTCAAGTTCCTCGAGATAGGGCAAGTTAAATAACCTTTAGTGGGAAGAGAAAATGAATTGTAAAAATAATTACATGTTTATCATTCACTAGAAATCCTTTATTAGTAAAGGGTTAAATACTCAAGAGGTATATAGAAACTACTTTTTCTAAGATCTTGAAATATACATAGCTTTCATTAAGGTTGGTGTCATTCATATTGATTTGCGATTTTTAGGGCAGATGATGTGCGATCTAGAAAAGGCACCAGAGAAACTGTCAACATTTAGGTGTATTTTTTCTTGATTGCAGGAAGATTTCCTTAGTGAAGTGTCTTTGGTCTTTCGTTCCATTAAGTTTGAAATCAACAGTAAGAACCAAACAACACAAAGACTCTGTAACAAAGAGGACTCTGTCTGGTGGGGAGAGGAGGGAGAAGGGGACCACAGATGAAGGGCTAGAGGGGGTTGTGGGTGTGGGGAAGCAGTTGTTTCTTGAAGACTGGAACTGAAGGGCTATAGTCTGGCATTCATCACAGTCCCTAACAAACATCTTCCATTTTGTATTCCTATTGAACCAAAATCCTTTGTTGTTGAGTCAGTTCTGACTTTTAGTGACCCTCTGAGACAGCTGCTCCTCAGAAACCCTAGTAGGATCACTATGAGTCAGAATCAACTCAACAGGATTCAACAACAGGACAGAGTAGAGCTGCTCCAGAACTGACTCAATGACACTTAATAACAACAACAACAACATAGAGAAACTAAAGTGAATGGAAGAAATGAACAGGTAAAAGAGTTGAGCAACAAATTTGAAAGGGCAGCTCGAGAAGACAAAGTCAAATATTATAATGAAATGTGCAGAGACCTGGAGTTAGAAAAACAAAAGGAGGAACATGCTTAGTATTTCTCAAGCTGAGATAACTGAAGAAAACATTCAAGCTTTGCAATACTAAAAGATTCTATGAGTAAAATGGTGTGGTGCTGTAGGATAAGCACTGAACTGATAACCACAAAGTCAGTGGTTCAAAACCATACACAGGGTTGCTTTGAGTCAGAACCAACTAGACAACACTTAACAACAGCAATGGACAAAATATTGAATGAAGTAGAAAGCATCAAAAGAAGATGGAAGGAATACACAAAGTCATGGTACCAAAAAGAAATGGTCAATGTTTCAACCATTTCAAGAGGTGGCATATGAACAAGAACTAATGGTACTGAAGAAAGAAATCCAAGCTGTACTGAAAACACTGGTGAAAAATAAAACTCCAGGAATTGATGGAATAGAAATTGAAATCTTTCTATAAACTGATACAGCACTGGAGTTGCTCACTCATCTATAACAAGAAATTTGAAAGACAACTACCTGGCCAACCAATTGGAAGAGATCCATATTGGTGCCCATTCCAAAGAAAGGGACCCAATGACATGCAGAAATCATCAAATAATATCACATACAAGTAAAAGTTTGCTGGCGATAACTAAAAATCAGATGCAATAGTACATAGACAGAAAACAGTCAGAAATTCAAGCCAGATTCAGATGCGAACATGAAACTAGGGATATCATTGCTGATGTCAGATGGATCTTGACTGAAAGCAGAGAATACCAGAAAGATGATTTATTGTGTGCTTTATTGACTATGCAAAAACTGTGAAGATTATGACAGACTATGAAAAACAATGGAAAAAAAAAAATGGGTGTTCCGGAACACTTACAGGCTCATGAGGAACCTGTACACAGACCAAGTGGCAGTTGTTCAAACAGAGCAAGGGGACAATGAATGGCTTAAAATCAATCTGTACGCTGAACAAATAATCTGAAAAGCTAGAGTATATGAAGAAGAATGTCATGTCAGGATTGGTGGAAGTCTCATTAGCAAACAGCAATATGCACATGATAAAATCTTGCTTGCTGACAGAAGAGAACTGAAATTGCTTATTGATGAAGATCAAAAAACTACAGCCTTCAGTATGGATTGCACCTCAATGTAAAAATCCTCACAACTGGACCAATGAAAAACATCACAATAAATTGAGAAAAGATTGAAGTTGTCAAAGACTTCATTTTACTTGGATTGACTATCAATACTCATGGACGCAGCAGTCAATAAATAAAACAATGTATTGCACTAGGCAAATCTGTGGCACCAGACCTCTTTAAAGTGTTCAAGAGCAAAGACGTCAGTTTGAGGACTAAGGTGTGCTTGACTCAAGCTATAGTATTTTCAATAGCCTCATACGCACGTGAAAGTTGGACAGTAAATAAGGAAGACCATAGAAGAATTGATGCATCTGAGTTATGATGTTGGAATGACTATTCAAAGACCCATGGACTGCCAGAAGAATAAACAAATCTGCGTTGGAAGAAGTATAGTGAGAATACTCCTTAGAAGCCAAGATAGCAGACTTCATCTCTCATACTTGAGCATATTTCAAGACTGACTAGTTCTTGGAGAAGGACATCCTGCTTGTTAAAGTGGAGGGTCAGCAAAAAGAGGGAGATCTCCAATGAGAGATGGATCAGCACAGTGGAAGTAGCTATGGGCTCAAGCATAACAACAATTATGAAGATGGCACAGGACCACTTTGGTTCTCTATGAATTGGAACTGCTTCGATGGCATCTAACAACAGTCGTCTATTTTTTTCTTCTGCTGTTTTTCTTTTCAGTTATGTTTGATAGTGCATTTATGCCATGCACCAGAGTCCCTAAGTTTGTCCCTAATTTTTCATTGATGATCTTTATAGTTCTAGGTTTTACATTTAAATATTTAATCTACATTGAGGTCGTTTTTGTATATCGTGTGACATAAAAGTCTTTTTTTCATGCTTGTGCAAATGGATTTCTGGTTTTTCCAGCACCATTTGTTGAAGAGATTATCTCTTCCTTATTTAATTTATTTGGGTCCTTTGCCAAAGATCAACTGAGTGTCAGTGGATTGATTTGCTTCTGGATTCTCAAGTCTGTTCCATTGGTCTGCATGCCTTTCATTGTACTAGTACCAGGAAGTCTGTTTTGATTACTGTGACTATGTAGTAGGTTTTGAGATCAGGAAGTGAGAGGCATCCTACTTTGTTCTTTTTCAGTAAAGCTTTGCTTATCTGGGGTCTCTTCCCTTTCCACATGCAGTTGGTGATTAGTTTTTCCATCTCTTTAAAGAATGATGTTGGGATTTATGTTAGAATTGTATCTATAGATTGCTTTGGGAAATGTGGACATTTTCACCATATCAAGTCTTTCTTTTCACAAATATGATACATTCTTCCATTTTTGTAGGTCTCTTTTAGTTTCTAATAGTAGTTTTTTTGCAATTTTCTTTGTATAGGTCTTTTGTTTCTCTGGTTAGATTTATTCCTAAGTATTTAATCTTTTGAGTGTCTGTTACAAATGGTATTGTTTTCCTGGTTTCCTTTTCAGAACTCTCTTTATTAGTATAAAGGAATCCAACTGATTTTTGGATGTTGATCTTGTACTGTACCACTTTGCTGAATCTTCCAACGATTTCCAATAATTTTCTTGCTGAGTCTTTGGGATTTTTTAAGTATAGGATTGTATCATCTGCAAATAGAGTTTTACTTCTTTTCTTATTATTAAGGTGTTTTATTATCTTATAATTTGGTTTGTTTGTTTATTTTACTTCTTCTTTGCCAATTTGGATGCCTTTAATTTACCTTTCTTGACTTACAGCTCTGGGTGAGGCTTCCAGCACAATATTGAAGAGGAGTCATTCCAAATCCTTGTCTGGTTTCTGTTCACAAGGAGAATGGTTTGTTTCTCTCCATTGAGAGTGGTGTTAGCTGTTAGTTTTGTATGTTGTTGTTAAGTACCGTGGAGTCGGTTCCGACTCATAGTGACCCTTCACAGCGTTTCCAAGGCTGCAAATCTTTACGGGAGCAGAAAGCCTCATCTTTCTCCCATGGAACAGCTGGTAGTTTCAAACTGCTGACCTTGAGGTTAACAGCCTGATTCGTAACCACTATGCTATCAGAGCTCCTTTAGTTTTGTATATGAGTGCTTAATTATGTTGAGAAATTTCTCTTCTATGCCTATTTCAATTAGTGGGCTTTTTTGTTTTTTATTTATATCAGGAATGGGAGGTAGACATTGTCAAATGCCTCTTTGGCATTAATCGGTATGATCCTGTGGGTTTTATTGCCCATTTTGTTTATGTTGTAGATTACATTGATTGCTTTTCTAATATTGAACCATTATTGGCATATCCCTTTCTGAAATCAGCTTGAATTTCTGGTAGCTCTCTGTTGATGTACTGCTGTAATTATTTTTGAATTATTTTCAGAAAAATTTTACTTTCATGGGATACTAATGATATTGTTTAATAATTTCCACATTCTGTTGGATAACCTTTCAAAATTATGGATCTTATAGTCAGTTGGTCATGTAGTTGTTTCCCAAATTTATTGGCATGGCCCAGTGAGGACCTCTATCAGTTTGTGGAAACATTCAGTCAATTCTGTCAATTCCTGGAGCCTTGTTTTTTTGTTGCTGCTCTTCTTGTTTTACAAGTGCCTTCGATGCAGTTTGGATTTCTCCCTTCAGTATCATCAATTCTTAAACTACCTACCTCTAGCCACTTCCTGAAATGGCTGAATATCTACTAATTTTTTTGATATAGTGACTGTGTATTCCTTTCATCTTCTTTTGATGCTTCCTGCATCATTCAATGTTTTGCTGATAGAATTTTGCAATATTGAAACTCAAGACTTGAGATCCCCCGCCACCCCCCCAGGTTGTTCATTTTGGGAAATGCCAAGTGTGTTCTTCTCTCTTTGTTTTTTTTAACTCCAGGTCTTTGCACATTTCATTATAAGATTTTACTTTGTTTTTGTGAGCCATCCATTGAAATCTTCTGCTGACACTTACATCAGCATTTCTTTCTTTTCCTTTAGCTATTATATGTTTAGGAGTCCTGGTGTGGTGCTGTAGTATAAGCACTGTACTGCTAACCACAAGTTTGGCAGTTCAAACCTACCAGGCATTCCTCAGAAATCCGATACAGGGCCGCTGTGGGTCATAATGAGCTCAACAACACTTAA